TTTCTAACATCTAAGATCCTGGACATGTTTGAGGAGATGCTAAAGTCAAACTAAATAGTTTTACAATCACTTTTCTGCAGGTTCGTCTGTTTTCACAAACACCTCATTTTCTAATTTTTTTGTCTAAGAATGGTGCTTTTTGTCACACTCCCCTCTTTTCGACTGGAGATCACAGGAGAACGAAACAAGCTAAGAACAAACTTATTTTTGTTGCTGAAAGTAGACAGTCCTGTCTTTCAGACTCTGGTTTCATATTTTTCATAGCACACAATATTCTGTGAGTCTTAAAAATCGGGGAAGTCATGGCTGGCAGTCAATGAGAACCTCTTTTTACATAGAATTACAGATTATAAAGCAGTCACATACAGATTATAAAACGGTCACACACAATTTCATAAAATTACGGATTATAAAAACAGTTACATTTCACTGAAGATGTCTCAATCTGGATCTTAAAGCATTCAAGGAAATAAGTTCAGATCATTTCCAGTCTTTTTGCAACACGTTCCATGTAGAAGGAGCAGCAAAAACAAACGCTTTTTTTTCCCAGTTCTGTGCTAGAGAAACAGAGAGCAACAAACGATCATTTGATCCAAACCATATGAACATGTCTCTGTGAGTAAACGACAGATGTAAGAGGGCAGCAGACCAAGCCTTAGAAACTAAAGTGCACCAGTGTCCAAACCTTCTGTGGACAAAGATCCCACTGCAGAATATCACTCACAGTGAGGCTTTGCTGTTCATAATGAATGAAACATTAAAAAAGTCTTACTGTTGAAACTGTGTAAAATATTACATTAAATATACTTCTTTAGGAATGAAACCTCTGCCTTGTTTTTGATGAATACTTCGGCTTACTGCGCTACTGTGTGGTGTGGTCATTTGTGGTGGTACTTGGAGAGGCAAGTATTTTCTGAGGGGGTACTTGGTGTGAAAAGTTTGAGAACCACTGACATAGACTGTATATAAGAGACTAATTTGAAGCTAGCAGGAACCAATTTCCTTATATGGGTATTTGTTTCGACGGGGTTAGCTTTGCACCGTGACAGGGGCAGACGTGTTGCTAAGACAGTTGCTAAGACAAGCTGGAATTCTTGTGTGAATGAAGGCACCAGATTGGATTTATAAAGACAATATTCAAATATAAACACCAGGATCACAGAGGGCGCTAAACCACAGATTGTAATCCCAAAATGGTGAGAATGACGCAAACGGTTTCTGAGCTAGAGGAGTTTAGTGTTCATTGTAAATCGTTAGGTTAGCATTGGCCATTTACACACAGTATGGTTATTGATCATCTGAAATTAGTTCTTTTTACTCTTGATGGTTAAATTGTATTCATTTTGATCAGAGATAGTGGACCCTGGATCAGCGATAAGCTCCTTCATTACATTGTGAGTACATTGCATTGCTGTAATTATGCTTTGGTAACACCGCTTGTGGACAGAATTGGGTCACGCACTGCCAAAAGTGTGTTTATTAAGAGACAAGAGTTGTGTTTCCAGCACAGGAGTTGCTGGTAAGAGGAGGGGGTGGGACATCTACAGAAATCGTCCTCTCTCTCGGTCCTCTCAGTGGCTATGTCTCGACTGCAGAGGGGGACCCCTCGGCGACATCATGAGTTTCGATTGCTGCGTAATCAATAATTGTTTTATTTTACGGTCGGAACCGCTCTGCTTGTTGTGGTCTTTGAGTTTTACTGCATATAATCCTGCTTTAGTTTATTTTTCTTTTCACTGCATTCTTTCAGAGTGTGATGAATCCCCAGTGCGTCGTAGTGAAGCTGATTTGTACTGGGTGGCACGGTGGCTGAGTGGATAGCACTCTCGCCTCTCTGCAAGAAGGTCCTGGGTTCAAATCCCGGTCGGACCAGGGCTTTTCTGAGTGGAGTTTGCATGTTCTCCCTGTGTCTGCGCAGGTTTCCTCCGGGCACTCCGGTTTCCCCTACCACTAAAAATATGTCCAATAGTTCTGGAATGCGCCTCCTGTACTGGCGACCCCGCTCCCATCTCTGTGTGGAGTGAGAGACAAATGCCCAAAAATTAACAATTGTAAACCGCTTTGAGACTCATATCTGCAGTGAAAAGGCAGTATATAAATAAAGACTACTACTACTACTAATATATCTTAGCCTATATATGTATAGGCTAATGCTACTAGGCTAATGCTGATGGTTTTTTAAAAATGCCGGTTGTTTTGGTATTTTCTGAGGCCGTCAGAGCCTGCTCTAACTTTAGCCAATCAGCCCCAGGTTAACCTCAAGCCCAACCAGGAGTACCTAGCGCTGAGGAGGTTCTCCGTTGGTTCCCGTAAAGGTTCCTGTAAATGGCCCTGTGGGGGAGGGACGCACCAACCCTGTAAAATTACCCCAAGTTCTTGCGGTTGAAACGCTACTAAGGTTTTCTTGTTTATATGTTTTAGGATCACCAGTATTTGGACTCAAATGGGAGAAAGACTCAGCTTCTATACTTATGACACATATGATACACATTTTGTCCAAATTATTGCATATTATCTGACAAAAAATATGAATGTTTTTCTGTCTAGTGTTCATTGGTGGAATAGAGCTTGGCACTAACAGAAAATAAAAGGTTCAGTAAATGTTTAGACATGTTTATTGTTATGGTTCATATATTTATTATTTAATTTTGACTTTCACCATCTCACGTCTACCAAAACATACACAGCATTAGTCATTCGAATGTGAGACTGCTGCCTCTGTGGTTTCTCCATTCAAGACTCTGAAATCACAGACAAGTAATAAACTGTGTATGTTTATCTTAAATAAATACAAAATAAATAATATGCATTAAAATATGACATAAGCGTAAATAAATCAAATAGCACTGTGTGTATTTTAGATCAACTATTAAATGCATAAACTTGAGGATTATGCATTTCATATTAATAAGCTTTATTACACTTGAATACAAATCAAATAGGGTTTATTATTTTTGGTTGTGTTTAATGTTAAATGATGTAAAGAGAGTCATTTGAATTTATATTTATCAATTAAATGAGATAAATCCTGAATTGGGCTTAGTCTGTCTGTGAATGTAGTGCTGTCAAAGCACATCTTCCATACTCTTGTTATAATATTACCACTATCAGTGTCATAAAGTGGGCTGGCCAACTGTGTGATACTGAAATAAATCAAAATATCACTTGATGTTGGTAAAATTGTAAAACTTTTTATTTTATTTATTTATTTATTTATTAAAGGGACAGTGCATATTAATATACATTATACATGTAAATATGCCAGAATTAGCAATTTTAGGGCTATTTTCCATCTGTAGCCCCTGGACAGTTGTTATGTGTCCTCCTAAATCCGAAAGCAACTTATATAAGGATTCTTTAGAGGAATGAAAATGTAAAACTCTTTTCACAATCTTAATGAATGAAAGTGAAAGAATAGTTCTTTATAAGGTCCTGCAATGTTAAAGTAGTTGTATAAAGAGTCTATATTTTGAGTGTCCCGTCCCTGCAGGCCTCTCCCAGGCTCCGTGTCCGTGCTCAGAGCGGACCTTCTGCCTGAAGGGGTCCACCTGGGGCCTGGGCCTGAATGCTAATGCCCTAAACGTGTCTCACATGAGGCCGACCTGTGGCACGCTGCTTCCTCACATGAGCAATAAAACACTTTGTTCCCTGTGGAGAAGAGGAGCTGGATGTGACTCAAACAAAGCTCTGAGTGATCGCCTCATTGATCAATGGTTTATGTTAATACACACATTTAACACACTTTATGCAACATTAGTTTAAGGGGAAACAATACAAGCACAAACATACACAAGTGTTTATTCTTAGTGTTTGTATCGGAGGAAATGATGTGTGGTGTTGCAGGCTGTTTGAGGCAAATTAAATCTGCATCATATGAACATTTGCTTCTGTACATCCATCTATTTTATGAAAGTAATGATGTAATGAGGACTTCACTGAGTTTTGACTGAAATGTGTTGTAATGGTTTCAAATGTTCAGTCATGTTTAGTGTTAACTGTTCATCATTTCTGCTCTCAATTCAAACAAAACAAATTCATCATAGCATTAGCTGTTTGGATGTAAGACTGCTGCCTCTGTGACCCAGCCCCAGATAAAGGGGAGGGAAAGGCATGCGTAGTCAATTGGATTTCTACATTAAAGATGCTTCTTTCACAAATTGCCTTTACATTTATTGTGGTGAATAATTATGATGTGGAGAATGTGCTGCAGAGTGCTTTGACCAATGAATGAAATTGGATTCTGACAAACATGTATTGGATATGAGTCCTTAAGCTAGCTCATGGCAAAGAGTTTCAAGATGAACAAATAGGACTTCTTATGTGAATTCCTAAAATGAACGATACTAATACTTTCAGAGCTTGCAGGCTGATACAGAAATACAGAAAGAGATGTTTATGACATTAGTCTTATCAGTTATTTTGTTGCGCACAGAGGCTGAGGCGAGTAGGTGAGCCTGAGGCCGCCCTGAAAGAGGTGTCCACTGTAACACAAAGGCCACTACTGTTTGTAGTACGTCCTCAAATCAAGTGATACACCGTAAAAGAATAAATCCACTTTTCACGTAAAACAAATGCAAGTCATTGAAAAGGCTCATTGTTGTTGTGTGTGTTGACAACATGCATAACTAATAGCATCCGTAGGCCTTTAAAAGCTGAGCTAGATGAATCTCAGTCTTCCACTGCAGCTGAGAGGAGCAGAGCTGCACAAGTTTGAGACATAGTTTAACAGAAGAGACTTTTAATTCAACATCACAATGCTTCAGATGCTCGGCTACCAAACCTTTGAGGTATGATGAGTGGACTTCTTTATGATTCATCACAACTGCTTCTATATAATTTTACTTTCAAACTAGGAGCTGGACAATCAACTCAGCACATTGAATATATTGAAATACTGTAGAAGTACATAGGAATCCTCTCTCCACCCCATCCCCTGACAGTCTCTCTACTACAAAGAATAATGTGAATATAACTGATGTGTGTTGTTGTTTGTGCCACAGGTCCAGACCCACCTGGAAAACCCGACTAAGTACCACATCCAGCGCTCGCAGCAGCAGCAGGTGAAGCGGTACCTGGGGAAGCTCCTGCCCTCTGACCACGGGGGCATGCCTCCTGGACCGGGCAACAGCGCGCCCAACAGCCCCATGGCCTTACTAACACTCAACTCCAACTGCGAGAAAGAGGTAGGACAGAGCAGCGGACGGCAACAGCTGTGCTCTGCAATGTTGTTATGTCTGCCGTGCTCAGTGTGGGGAAAGTTCAGACAACCACAGACATTCAATTCTATGTATCGGGAAAAAAAGACAATACACATTTCTATGATAAAAATGTCATAGATATACTGCATAAAGTTATGAAAAATAAGTCAAAGTTGTTCAAATTTGGAAAAATTTATCTTAATTTGAGCACATTTTCACTGCCTTAAAACAAGATTTTCCAATGGCACAAGCAAAATGATTGGCTGCTCTCTCCCATGGTGTGTTGCTATACGTGTATGTTGAGGTTAATGTTGAAGGCACAGGCACAAATACACAGCCATTACAGTGAACTAGTTTTTAACTATTTCATTGTTGTTGTTTTGGTCAATATTCAGGGTGAATATATGAATAAAACATTTAGATCATAGATTATAGCTCACACATGTCTTCTGTTCACGTTATTGCATTATCTGTCGCATTATCACAGGTTCGTCTCCTCTTGAGCTGTTCCAAATAAGTTTCTCCATTTACGTGTTTTGTTGTTTTTGTTTTATTTTAGATGGACGATGTAATTGACGACATCATTAGTCTGGAGTCCAGTTACAGTGAGGAAATCCTGGGCCTGATGGACCCAGGACTTCAGATGGCGAATAACGTGCGTGCTCTTTCATGGTTTCACACCAACTCTGTTGTAACTGTTTTGTTTGAGTAACAAGAGTGTGTTGTGTCTTCTTCAGATGTCTGTTCCTGGGAACATCATGGACATGTACAACCAGGGAATGACCCAACAGGGTCTGCCCATCAGCAACTCCTGCCCCGCCAACATGCCCAACATCAAAAGGGAATATTCCAGTAAGACACATTTACCCTCTGTCTTTGATGTGTGTGAGGAGGTTCTTCCACATTAAGTCACAATTATTGACATAATAGTGAAATAGAGTAAATTGTTGGGTCGATTAAATGAAAAGGGTTTATATATTCTATGTAAACACTTTTTGAAGGACTATTTACAAAAAACATACATCTGTTTTAGATAGAACGATAGATATGTTTATCTTAAGTAATTAAGTCAAGTTTATTTGTATAGCGCCTTTCACAGACCAGGATCATAAAGCACTTCACATTTAAAACATACAGATGAAATGTTCAGCACTTTGAGTTTCCCTATGAATATGCTATACAAATAAACTTGCCTTGCCTACATAGATAAAGACAGACAGACAGGGTAATTTTCTTTTTAATTTTCAGCTTTCAATCTGATTATTTTTATTATAATTTACAACTTTTAGAGAACCCAAGGCTGATTTCTTGCAATAAGAAAGAAAATGTCCTCAAATGTTGAGAATGGAGTATCTTGAGCATTTAAGCACAGCTGCATTCGAGAGTATCTATCTATGCTTCTTATTTTAACTATGACACAGTGTATTCTTGTACCAGCTTCCATTGGCAAATCTGCTTCAAGATCAATTATGCATAGTTCAAGCATCATTTACAGATATTCACTTTTGTTCTAAAGTTTAAACCGCAATCATGTTTCTGAAATCTGTCTTCTCAGTCAGTTCTTGCTTATTTCCGACGCACGTTTGTTGTATGAGTGATGCTAAACAGACAGGCTCCTCTTCCTCCAGTGCCACAGTCCCCTGCCATCATGCACATGCTGGACAAGTCTGGATCCTGCGGCAAATACGACAGCTATCAGAGGCCGGAGGGTTTCCCCGTGGGTACGTGTGGGTTCTCTTTGACTCGTCCACTCTGACTTTCTTTTGCTGAGGATTAAACAGTCACCATAATATATATTTAAATCTGCACATGTGTTCTTTGTGGTAGATAGCTATTGCAAGACCAAATAATGACATACATGTACTTACTTTGGCTTATATGAGGATTTTTATGAGCTCTTGTCACACACACCACTTTAGCCAAGGAGGAATCTTTAGGAGTTGAGTTTTTATTGCAGTAATACATAAAACAGCACAGACACTGCACATGAGAGCATCAGGTCTGAGACGATCACATGTCTGACCTTTTATTTAAGAAACGTCTTTGTGCTGGAAACATTCGTTCTATTGTTTCCTGGTAACTTCACTCATTGAATGTTGTTTTCCACAAAGCAGAAGTGCGAGCTCTGGCTAAAGAGAGGCAAAAGAAAGCTGAGTCAGTGGAGAAGGTTCAGTGCCTGGGCACGAACCCAAACCTTCAGGCTCTAGGCCAATGGTCTACATACTGGAGCCCTATTCACATCTCCTAAGAAGAGATGGACCACCTCAATAAGATATCTTTTCTCATCTTGTGCTTTAGAGCAATAACACGCTAATTTACTTAGCTCAACAGTACATTTGTATAGAGATGTTACATCCCAAACCCGTACTGTTTCTTCATACTGGTGATGGGGTTTCTTGTGCGTTCTTATGTTATATTGAAAATGTGCAACTACACTGTTAAAATGTGAATGACTGTGGAAAGACTTCTGATGATGCCCTCGTTTTAATGGTGCTGTCAAAGATTGACATGCAAATATAGGCTGACAAACACTCAATCTGAGTGACAGGACAGGAAATGCAGGAGGCAAGTGCCGCTACACACACAACACACACGGCACGAACGCACTCACCCAAACACACATAAAGACTTATGACGGGTTTTGATTTATTTCGCAAATACAGTTTTAATACCATTTTTTATATTAGAAGAGAACTTATAAAAGGTTTCAAAAATCAGTTTGTTGTTTTTTTTCATGTTGATCCCCCCAATCGAACAAAACCCCTAGCAACGCCCTTAGAAACGAAAAAAAACTTCACAGCATTGGTGACGTCAGAAAAACGAGTAAGTTTCAACGCTGTAACTTGTTTACAATTTGATATTCGCTTCTTTTTTCGCGGATATTTCAGATGACAATGGCCGTGTACTGCAAGAATGAATAACTACTAGAATGTGACATTTCGCTGTCACTGAGATAGTTAAGTGGTTTGTGTTTGATGGAATTGTCATTCTGGATAATTGGGATCAATTCCCACCTTCGGACACTTTTTAACACTCAAAACGGCAATGTATGTGTACGGTGAGCAATTGTACCTGTAGAGGGCAGTATGTGTAGGGCTCAGTGGAGAGAAGAGAGAAAAGCATTCCTGTGGCATTAGGCTATATCCACCACGAAAGACAAAACCGCTATTAATTTCAGAAAAACTTTTTCTGTTAAACACGGAAGTATAGCTCAGTAAATGTGTGTGGGGTGCGTCAATTATGATGTAGTCAATACGCACTGGAAAAAAACGCTGTGAAAACTATGCGAACTGTTGGTGGCGCTTATGTTGTGAGCAAAGAGGGATCAAGCCACAAACTTCCGTGGGGCCATGAGCGGGAATTTGGTAACAGACAAACATGGCGACCGTGGGCGAGCTGGTACAAAATTTTATGGACGGCGATGGAGGCTTGAACAGTTGCTTTCGGAGTTCACACTGGATTACAAAACCAACAAGCTACATAGTTGTTGTCATTATATTCTGAGTGCGTCGCAAATTGGGTGATTAACAAGAGGCGGGGCGAGGATGACGCAAGCGTCTCAGATACCATTGCGGAGAGGCAGTAAGAGTAGTAAACGGTAGCGGCATATACGGAGTTTTGAAATCGTCACTCTGGGACCTAGTTTCAAAAATGTTGTTTACACACCCCAAAAACGCCGGCCTGTCTCATGGAAGATACACTGGATGGATAATGTATTTTTGCGTTTAGGCCTGAGCTGACATCGTGTGACAGAGGCCTTAGATCCATGGTTTTCAATGCATGGCGTAACCCGCCTGGACGTCCACACGAGGTTAGAGCATTAGACAACTTAAAATCATGAAAAACCCGTTCCTTTTTAAAAAAATATAGGATTTTTTTGCGGAATCTCTTTCAAATGACATTGTCATGCAATTTTGAATTCCACTATTTTTTTAAATAAAAAACCCGTCATAAGGTCTTTTAATTTCTAAGTACAAACAAGGAGACCTACTCGTTTCTCAAGTAGTTCTCAATCCAGGAAACATGAATAATGTCATACTTAGGAAAAAATACTGCTGATTCATGTATGAAACTTTCTTACCAAACGTAAATATTCTTTATTCTAGGAGTGGAGGAAGAGTACAGTAAAATGCTAATGTATAACATTAGGGCTGTAGATGACCATAGACTATGCTTGTCCACATGTCACCACAGAGTGAAGGTTGATCGATTTGGGAGGACTAAAAAGCGGGAGTGACAAAAGAAATTCGTTGAATGGACTGAAGTTACTACTCGAAGGACATGTTTATACTGAGCCGCCGCGCAGACGTTTCCAGGTTTTAACAGAAAACAACCTTGGCTCCTAATGCAAATTCTCAGTGTTCCACATGGAGGTTGAAAAACGATGTAGTTCTAGCGCCGGCCAGTAGTGGGCAGAGGATCTTAAAACACTCACACGTACCCCCAGCCCCATGCCAGCCCCCCCTCCGGTAAGTTTTGGTTATAATCATTCCTGTGCAGACCCTCAGAATGCACCAACATCATTCTGCATTTTAACAGCAGCTGTGGGAAAATGAAAACTGAACCTATGAGCTTCGCGTGGGTCTCGTTTGGATACGGACACGGAAGGAGTAGAATTATCCTCTGTGGCGGCTGTGGAACGCCCACGTAGCTAGTTGTAGTACGCGGCAGCCATTGTTGTGGATGTTTGTTCTCGCTACTTGCGCATGTCCAAATTTACGTGCGGGGCAGCAGCGGGAGGCGGGGGTCTGTAGCAGAGGGGGAATTCACACTATTCCCCCTCTCGCGGGTGTGAAGAGCTCCCCGCTGTGCAGCGTTTTCTCAGTTGTCCCACTCTGCAGCGCTGGATCTGCAAACAGCTTACATTTTCACCCCCCTGAAAACACAGTCTTCGTTGAACGGTTGGTAAATCTTACTGGTCAAACATAAACAGTTTGATAGTAAGCTTTCAGTGTAGTCTTATATGAACTATGCTGTTTCGTGTCGGTCATGTTGTCTATTATTTGCTCAATGGCATCCTAGTTGTCCATATCATGTGATGTTCGACCAATTTGTTTCTAGAAAACGAATCATAAAGATGAGAATCGACTATAATAGCCATTTCAGGAATATTTCAGTGTTTAAAGGATGCTATACCTTTAAAACTGATGTTTTCTGAAAATGTCTATTCCGGAAGTAGAAAATATATAGGATTTCTACTTCCGGGTGGATCTTCAAGACAATTTGTCCTTCCAATTGTCATTATTCTGGTGAAGCAAATCAAGGACCAGAGAGTTTTGTTCAAAAACTAGAGAGAGGGCGGAACTTCCTCCTTCATACCTTTAGGCAAACAAAACATTACTTCACATTTTAAGAGGCAACCAGCTTTTCTGCATGCTTAGTAGTTTTTGGATAGCTTAGCTGAGTTTACACGGAGACTAGGGGCTGGTCAAAACGGTATAGTTGGTGTCGGTTCTCCAACAGTTCGACACGAAGACTGTGTTTCAGGGGGTGAAAATGTAAGTGTTCAGATCCAGCTGCAGAGCTGGGGACCACTCAGAAACGCTGCAACAGCGGGAGCTCTTTAACACCCGCGAGAGGGGAATAGGTGAGAAATCCCCTCTGCTCTGAACCCGGCCTCCCCGCTGCTCCCCGCAACGTAAATTTGGACATGCCAGTAGCGGAGAAAACATCCAACAACATGGCGCCGCGCACACAAACTAGTACGTGGGCTACCAGCGCGGCACAGAGGATAATTCTACACTTCAGTTCGTACAAAAGAGACCACGCGAAGGCTCATAGGTTTCAGTATAATTTTCACAGCAGCTTGATAAAAATGCCGAATGATGTTGGTGCATTCTGAGGGTCTGGCACAGGAAGTGAGTATACTACCGAGAGGGGGCTGGGCATGGGGCTGGGGTCTGTGTGAGTGTTGTAAAAGTTTCTCTGCCCACTACTGGCCGGGTGCGCTAAACTAAATCGTTTTTCAACTATGAGAACACTGAGAAATTTGCATTAGGAGCCAGGTTGTTTTGTTAATAGCTGGAAACGTCTGAGCAGCGTTCTCAGTTATAAAAAGGCCTTCGAAGTTAGTACTTCAGGTCCAGTTCAACTAATTTTCAATTGTCAGCACGCATTACGTCTCAAAATCGAATCCAACCTCTCAGTAGGTGGACATGTGGTCAATCAATTTCTATGGTATCATACAGCCCTATATGTAACAGTTGATATTACGGATCTCTTCCCTCCTAGCAGAAAAAATTCTTTACTTTTGGTAAAGAACGTTTCATACAGGTAATGCCAATTTTTTTCCTAAGTATGGACCTTATACATTGGTTTCCTGGATTGAGAAACTACTTGAGAACATAGGTCTCCTGTTTGTACTTAGCATTAAAAAGGACCTTATGACGGGTTTTTTTTTTAAAAAATAGTGGATATCAAAATTGCACTGACAATGTCAATTCTCGAAACGAGATTCGGCAAAACAAAATCCTATATTTTAAAAAAGAAACGTTGTTTTTCATGAATTTAAGTTGTCTATGCTCTAACTGTGTGTGGACGTCATAGCGGGTTACGCCCATGCATGAAAACATGGATCTATGGCCCTGTCCCACACGACGTCTAAGCTCTGCCTAACGCAAAAATACTATATCAATCCAGTGTATCGTCCTACGAGGCCGGCGTTTTGGGGGGTGTAAACGAACATTCTAGAAACTATGTCCAGAGTGGAAAGATTTCAAAAATCCGTATATGCCGCTCCGTGGTTATCCTCTCCGCACGGTATCTGAGACGCTTGCGTCATCGCCCGCATCTTGTTAAAGCACGCCGCGCCTCACTCAGAAAAAATGACTCAAAACAATGTCGCTTGTTGGTTTTGTAATCAGTGTGACCACGATGCAACAGTTCAACAACCATCGTCCGTCCATACCTAATGTTGTACCAGCTGCCACTCGCCATGTTTTCTGATTTACAACATTACGGCATGCCACGGAAGATTGGGCTTGATCCGTCATTGCGTCACAGCGCCACCAAAAGTTCTGGCATAGTTTCACAGCGTTTTAGGCGTATTGATACATTCATTATGACGCACACATTTACTAGAGCTAACTCGTGTTACAGAAAAGTTTTGAATTTTTATAAGCGTTTTGTCCTTCGTGTGGTATAGCTATGCCACAGGAATGCCTTTTCTCTTTCTCTCCACTGATTATGCCCAAACACAATATGCCCTCAACAGGTGACAATGTCACTACACATTTCATTGCCGTTTTG